AGTCGGGGTTTAAAACCTGCCACCCTTACCGTACAAACCCTAACCCGAAATGATGTAGCCGCCGACCTTATGACTCCCACTCTCTCCGGCCGCTGCCACCTTTCACCTAGTCGTCCTCCGACCATCTACCACCATCGGCGATGTTGAATACCGACGGGAAAGGGAAGCAAAGTTGCACCAGTTGGGGAATCGGAGAGCAGCGTCGTCATTTGGAGTTGTCGTCCGCCACACCCACTCCACTGGTATCGCTGCCACCGTTACGCTCCAATAGTTGAAGACGAAGGCGCCGCCAGCCGGCGGTTAACGCTGCTTCGATCTACGATGGTCTCCGCTCATCCTCCTCACCGTTCTCCTGGTGTTATTTCTCAGTCCCGACCGCTGCTTCCGGATGGCTCGAGTATGTCGCTCTGTTCGTCGTTTGCCACCCGAGGGGTTGTTGTGTTCGTAGGTTTGGGCCTCTGTCGAGTAGGAACCGTGAAGAACCACCATGGCAGCCAGCCATGGTGGCTGTCACCGCAATCCACCACTGTGCCGCCATTGTTGTCGTTTGTGTTGTCGTTGCCGTCGCTATCCATTTCTCAATCCATAGTGTGGGTGTGTGTTCTGTTTGGTCAGAAAGCCATGAAAAGGCCACCACCACCACCGTGAGGTGGTGGCTGCCACCATGTACCACCGTGTGTGGGTGTATTTAGTGTGTGTGTGTGTGTCCATTGGGTATTTTTCATTGTAATGTTGTAATCAGTGATGTAATAATGAAAAGAAACTCAAAACCACCACCGTAAGGTGGTGGCCGCCGCCGTGATCCGTCGTTGACCACCACTACCCGAGGTGGTAGTGGGTGGTGTCCGACTAGCAAAACCCTAATTGACCTAAGGAAACCCTAATGGGCTTAAAGATTTAGTTTTGGGCCTATTGGGCTATGATTGGGTGGGAAACCCTAATTAGGGTTTAGAAAACCCTAATTTTGGATATAGGGGCCTTGGACTTATTGGGACCCACATTTGGGCCATTGGAATGGAATTGTGAATTACACTCAATCATACCATATGATTTATCTAGTAAAGTGATGGACTTAATGGATTAAGTCCTTACTGGGTTAAGTGAGAAACACTTAACCCTAATTGTCATTTTATGTGAAACCCTAATTTCACTTGGGCCTTGAGTTGGGCCTTTCTATTGGGTTTTAATAATTGGGCCAATAATGGGCCATCCAAGAATGATCATATGGACTAGAATATTTAGATGGGCTTTAAGGTAAGGCCCATATGAGGGTTTGGGCCCAATTTGGAAAATTGGGCCATAGTTGGGCCTTGGATCATTATTAGACTTTTGGGCCTTTGGATTGGGCCTTGGGCTTGAGTCAAGCTATGTTAGGGGTAAAGTAGTAGTCTTTTACCCCAAGCATGGATTTATGGATATGTGTTGGAACCCAATCATTAATTGGGTGTTATTTTGATGTTGACAGATTCGGGAATCTGTCATCCAGCAGCTAGGGTTTTGTCAGCGGGACTTCAGCAGTGTGAGGTGAGTTCTCTTCCAGTAGGAACGGGTCTAAGTCCACAATGTCGGCCCGTTTAGATGATAGTAGTTCCAGACTACGGTCTGATGTCGGGGCGGTCCCGAGAAGAGTATATGTATGCTTGATGTCTTTGTGATTCATGCATGTTGTGTGTTATGTATTCCGGGGCAAGCCCGATGCCGGGGTAAGCCCGATGCAGAAATAGCTTATATGTTATGTGTGCCAGAATTTGGTCCGATGTCGGGGCAAGCCCAAGGAAGTTTGTTATGTTTATATGTTATATGCTTATGTGTTATGTGCTTGTTGATATGATATGTATGTCGGACTTCGGTCCGATGCCAGGCGGGGCCCGATGCTGTGGGCAAGGCCCAGTATGTGTTATTATGTGTTTATGTTATTTGCATTATTGATGTGTAATGTGTTTATATGTATACCAAATTTCGGTCCGATGTCGGGCAGAGCCCGATGTAGCGGGCAAGGCCCAGTGTATGGTATGTGGTAGTATAGGGAGAATCACTAAGCTTCGTGCTTACATTTTTCAGTTTTGGTTTCAGGTACTTCAGTTTTGAAAAGAGGAGATCGGGATGATTGCAGTGCACACACCATTTGTTCGGCCTGGGATGTTCATACTCTGATATATTTGACAGTTGTTAAGATATTTTGAGATACAATGTTTATGATTTTTATATGACGTTTGATGATTATGGTTTTATTAATGGTTTAAAACGAAATTTTTGGGCTGTATTTTTGGGATGTTTCACATCCCCTTCCTTTTTAAGGGTAAGATTTATGTTGCTTTGGGTTCCGCACATCGACTTGTCGAGTCAGAGCCACTGCTTTCTACACGATGAGTTTGAATTGTTCATAGATTGATTTTTATTATTTTATATATTTTGTTCACTCTTTCGAAGAGCTTTTGTCTTGTAGTGGATTTTTCGCATTAGCTTTACGAATAGCACGCTTGGACAAAGAGCATGTATGAAAACTCTTATAACCATATCGTCGTCTCCAACTGGGCATTAAAGGGAGATTCCTTTGAAACTGGTTAGGTATAGTTTCGCCTTCCATATGATGAGAAATTAGTATGGTGTGGTTTTTGGAGTGGAACTTGAATTGTTGCATGAAATGGTGAATTCTCGATTAAGTTGTTCCCAGCTATGAATGTTGTCGATTGCTAAGCTTTTAACCCAAAACCGTGTCGATCCCCTCAATATTATTCGAAATTTTGTTCACCAAAATTTATGGTTGAGCTTTAAAGGATGCATGTGTATCTGGTAAATTTATACGTAATCATTTGGATCTTTTGGTATGGTAGGCGTGTGTCGAGTGGTAGTGTGTAGCTTAGCAATTTGATTGCAAATGGTGATGAATCGTCTGTGTCTTGGCCTAACATTTCATGAGGGATTTTCTGGCCTTATTTGGGATTGGTTGTGTTATCATGAGTAGGTTGATTTGTTTTGTAAAATACCTTGACCGAAAGCTTTGGTAATCAAACAAGGTTCTGGAGATGGATTTTTCTTGTGGGTGATGGTATTAACTCTTCCGCCAATGGTGTTGTTTGTATCATAGCTGACATTGAGACGGTGTTTCGGGATTGGTTGGTCGTAGGCGTAGGTTAAGTAACTAATATTGTTTCTAGGTTTGGGAAAGTGGGTAATGACGGAGTTATAGGTGTTGATCATGGGAGGTTGGTAGGTGGTGTTTCCTAGAATATTAACATTGAGTGGATGGTGTTATGATTGGTTTCACCATTTTTCTTGTCACCCATGTTTCATGATCGTAGTAGTTGTAAAAACGGATGGAACCAATGATACAACCAAGTCTCGGAGGGAGATGATTAAGGATGGGTGGCTAAAAAGCTTAAAGTCTTCTTGCTTGAATTGGATGTTCCGAGACATGTTAATCACAAAAAAAAGAGTGCGGTTAGTCGTAATTTGTAGGTATGTCCAAGGATTACGCTTCAACACCCAAGTTAGGTTGTGTACCAAAAAGAGTGTATGATAGTGATACAGAGAGTTTGGGAGTGAACTGTTACTTATTGATACCTCTTATTGGGGAGGTATCTATAGTGTTGGTGAAAGGGACAATGTTTGGCATAGTGTATTATTTTTGTAGTTCTATTGTGCATGATTTTTGCAAGTGATTGTGGGTGGTACACGATCCCTTGTTGGAATTTGGAGGGACGTATCTGATGCTTCGACATTGCTTTGGGTTCAAGTGTCGCAATCTGACTCAATCCTTGCTTTGGCTCCTAGGGTGTGGCTGCTCGCCTAGTTTTGGTATACGTTGGTTGGGTCAGTGGTACACACATGCATACATACATAGTACATACATGATACACCATCCATCCAGTAGATACGTATGTATGCATGCGTTCATGCAACACACGCACACAAACACACAAATACATACCCTTTTTAAATGACATGTCAGTGCGATGTTTGAAGTTTGTGGGATTCGGACCTTAAGACCCAATTTATTTTGCAGTGTTCATATCCCAAGTTATCACCACTATGTCATATTGATTTTTGGAGTGTTAAAAATGTTATATAAATGTTATAATTTTAAAATGTTATGATTCAAAATGATACAATTAAGATTAAGGATTAAAATATTTTTTAATCAAAAGAGATTAATTATCATAATATTTTATATTATAATTTGTGGATAATAAAAAATTAAGAATTATAAGCAATTTGGATCATAAGATATTAAGTTTGAAATATAAAGATATTAAGTTTGAAATATAAAGATATTAAGTTTAGAAATAAAAAATTGATTATAAGTGAAAAATTAAAATCTATTAATTTATTTTTTTTATTGTTGAACTGGTTTTCATTTCTTATCAATTAAACACATTATAGATTCCATGTTCTTCACATTCCAATTCATTTGAAAGTTTAAATGTATTTCTAAAGCATTTACCGATTCAGACATTCTTAAAACTTACTTATGGATTATCATCTAAAGTTGTACAAAATTTAATCGATTCAATTCAAGCCAACCAATCTAATTAAAACCAAATCACATATCCAAATGTAACGCCGATCGAATCGGTTCCAAATTTTTATTATCCAACTTGGTAAGCCCTGATCAGATAAAGAATTAAATTGATCCAATCCAAATTTTATTCAGTTGGATCCATCCAATACTTAATATCCAATTTAAATTAATATGATAACTTTAACAAAAACATAATGAAAAATAAATAAATAATATGTTTTAAAATAACTATTGTACTTTGGTTGAACTTCTCATCTTTGAAGTACATGTTTTTTTAAGAATTCATGAATATATATTGAGGAGGTTGGTTATAGTTGTATATAGTGCAAAATTAGACCGGATTGGTTGTATAAAAAACATTGGATTACTTTGAACCAAATATGTCAATTATCAACTTTTTTCAAAAAAATAATATTTTTTTTCGTAATATCATGTTCAAAACTTTATACACACGACAGCAAACAAGCAACAACTAAACTGTCCTCAAATTAGGTTGAAGCCCACCATATTTCACAAGAGTTTGCTTTGTATGAGACTATGAAAATGCAGCTGCAATGTGAGAAATGCACGATGAAATCGATTTCAAAATGCTCCTGTTTCACCACAACTATAATAATCAATTTTCTTGCAACAAAATATGGTTATTTTGATCCTAAACAATCTTAATATTAAAACCACAAGTTCAATGATCAATTTTTTAGAGTTAATTGCAATAAACAATAATGTACTTTCATTAAGTTGTTTATTATAGCATTCTAATTCATATCTTTTTACATCATTATATGATTTTTTTTAAGTATAATGTCTTGATAAGAAAAGAAAAAAAAAATGAACGTTCAATGCTATAATTGGGTAGATTTTTTAAAGTATAGTGCCATAATAAAAGGGTAAAGTTTACCGATTAGGAACCGAGCTCAATCCTGTTGCAGCCGATTCAGGGACAAAATCGTCTTTTTGGGTAGCAGTGGAGACAAGTCTCTGAAATTTTTCAGTCAATTCTTCATAAGACTCTACATCTGAAGGTGGCACTTGTTCAATTGCAGATCTTAAATGATCCATTCTTACTTCCAATGCATCATGTTTCTCCTGACATAACAAACAAACATGTGTCACTAATTATCACTTTTAAGAATCTTGATTAATGAGTTTCACAAACCTCGATAGCTGCAACAGCAGCTTCGCGACAGATTAGAGAAATGTCTGCCCCTGTACAGCCTTTAGAAAGAGTAGCCAATTCATCAACGCATAAATCAGAACTGCAACTCATTTTTTGCAGATGGATACTGAAAATCTCTTTACGATCTTTTTCATTTGGTGGGCCCACATATACGAGCCTATCGAAACGCCCTGTCACATTTGTTATTAATAAGAATGGATTTTTGAATTCGGTGTGTTTATATTTATATAAAGTTAGGGTTAGTTTATACCTGGTCTCAAAAGAGCAGAATCGATCTTATCTGGTCGATTTGTAGCAGCAATAACAGTTACATTAACTCTCTGGTTCAAACCTAAAAAAAAACCAACAAGTTGGATGATATTTAATTATATGATACAAGTCACGTTGTACTGTGTTTGGCATACATTGGACTGGGACTAATGTCAATGAGACAAAAAAATTGCAATTTTTTGTCCCACCCAAAAAGGTTAAACAAGGTGGGACTGGGGCTCGCTCTCGATATCACGTCTATGAAAAAGACGTGAATGCCCTTACCCTCATCATCAAAAATATCCCTAGAAAGCTTGTCCAATTCAATCCCGTCCAGTGTGAAGGCTGCATTTGTTACACTGGACTGGACGGGACATGACTGGACAAGCTTTTTAGGAATATTTTTTATGACGAGGATAAGGGCATTTACGTCTTTTTCATAGACGTGATATCGAGAGCGAGCCCCTGTCCCACCTTGTTTAACCTTTTTAGGTGGGGCAAAAAATTGCGATTTTTGTCTCATTGACATCAGTCCCAGTCCAATGTATGCCAAACACAGTACAGCGTGTTGTGTCGTGTAACAAAATGAAAAAAAAAAAATCAGGGTCCTATTTACCATCTAATTCAACAAGAAGCTGACTCATAACACGATCAGAAACCGAAACCCCGTCATTTTCCTTTCCACGGATATTAGCAAGACCATCTAACTCATCAAAAAACACAATGGAAGGCGCGTTAGCCCTTGCCTTTGCAAACAAAGACTTTACAGCCTTTTCAGATTCACCAACCCATTTGCTAAAAAGCTCTGGGCCTTTCACCGCAAGAAAATTCAATTTGGCTTCAGATGCCACTGCACGGGCCAAAAGGGTTTTGCTGCAGCCCGGGGGGCCAAACAACAAAACCCCGGTTGGTGGGCGGGTCCCGATTCGCCTGAAAGCATCTTGATGCTTTTGAGGCCATTCTACTGCTTCCATCAACTGCATTTTAACCTCTTCTTGACCACCAACATCTTTCCAACTAACCTTCGGAACCTCAAGTATCACCTGATTATTTAAACAAATCAAAACAATAAGAATAAAAAAAAATGTTTCTGCAAAAAGGTTATTCTTCCAGCAACCCCTGAGCTGGCCCACACTGTCAGTGACCCAACTTTTTTATAATACCTCTCTCATGGCGCTTGGTCTCACTTTAATTCTTGCTTTTTCAAAATCTTCAAGAGACACACTCAAGTTTCTAGCCAACCAATCACTTTCATTGATTTCCAGCTGCAACTCTGAATTGGATAAAGATGAACACTCCAAATTATTCTCAGAAAACAAGCCTTTTGTATCATCTGAACACATGGAAACATTCATCTCATTATCGGGATGGATTTTATCACGAATCTTGTGAATGTTTCGCCTAAGACAAACAAATGCAGCTTCATTACAAAGGGACGCCAGGTCAGCACCCACAAACCCATGAGTAGACATGGCCAAATGGTGGATTTCAGTATCTGAAAGATTGTGTTCTTTTTCTTTGAGTAGAGTAAGTAATATATCATAACGTTGGTTTGGAGATGGAACACCTGTATAATATTGAAACAAATAGAAAAAAGATTAGTAAAAAAAATATTCATCGAGGGCATTAACGTCTTTTTCATACCTATTTCGATTTCCCGGTCAAGTCTTCCGGGACGTCTGAGAGCAGGCTCAATACTATCAGGCCTATTAGTTGCAGCAATAACAAGTAAGCCTTCAGTTCTACTAATTCCATCCATCAAATTCAGTAAAGTTGCAACAATTCTTTCAGAAAGCTCTTCACCTCCTTCTTTTCTTGATGGAGCAATGGCATCTAACTCATCTATGAATACCTACAACCACAAACACAAAGTCACAAACACCTTTTTTAAACAATGATGAACAAAATAGATGAAAAAGGTTGGAATACATGATGGAAAAAAGAACTTACCACAGAAGGTGTAGCATTGGTAGCTGAATCAAAGACTGAATGTAAAGCTTGCTCACTTTCACCATAAAACTGACTAACAATTTCAGGTCCATTTATGGAGAAGAGATTGACACCAACATCATTTGCACATAATTTAGCCAAACAAGTCTTCCCTGTGCCAGATGGACCATGAAGTAGTACTCCCTTTGTTGGACGCAAACCCATACTTAAAAAAAATAAGAAAGTGTAAATAAATTTGAATTCAAGAGCATATAAGTTAACAGAAAGTGGATATAAAATATACCTTGAGAGAGAGTTCTTAATTGATGATGAAACAATGATATCTTTCAAAACCGTATACTCCTTTGATAAGCCTCCCAATTTTGGAATATCAGTTACTATATTATCTTTACAATCCTCGTTATACAGATCAAAATTCATTTTCTCACAAGTTTCCACTTCAGAACTCTGCGAGAAAAGATGAACTTTTGTCCCATTGTCGATTAAAAAAGCTTTACTTTCTTTATCATCATTATCATTATCTTCAGATACCTTTACAGCACTTAAGACCTTAAAAAGACAAATCTCTGAAAGTATTGGAATTACAACAAGATTCCCGTGAAGTAAATGGCGGGAATTCAAGAGTGATGATGTACAAGTTTGAAGAAGCTTCTTTCCAACTTCATCCTCCAAGACTTCTTTTATGTTATAAGGATTGAAAGATTGATCTGACACTGTCTCTGTATGTCTTGGTGAAGTCGGTTGACTAGAAACAGGAGAATTCAATTTTGACCGAGTCAACTGTGGTGTTTTTGGAGATGAAATATTCCCGTTTTCATGTTGGTTGTTGAGTTCGGATGGAAAGTTGAAAAGTTTATTGCTTTTAGTAGTAAAGCTGTTCTTTGAAGAAACTAAGGATAAATGCAAGTCTTTGCACTTGTATATTGGAAAGGAATTATTCCCATGGTTGACAGGGTAAACAAAAATTATCCTTCCAGAAACTGGATAACCCATGGCAGAAGAGAGGGTTGATGATAATCGCACCTCATTTTTATGAACCTAAGAGTGAAAAAGTAAAGGAAACAATGCAAGTTCAAACTTCAAAGTAAGTAATATATGTCTTATTATGTATATAAAAGTAGTTCACTATTGTTATAATAGAGAAACATGATTGTTTTCAAACCTTACGAGAAGGGAAAACTGTAGCTAGAATGAAGTAGTTCCCTATTTCATTAGCCATTCTATCATTGAACCCATAATGCCCTGCACATTCATCCACCAATGAACTAAGAAGGTGAACAGAGAAATCTCTCCTTAAAGAAGCAAGTGAGACCTGTTGATGAATTCATATAACTATTAAACCACAAAAACAAAATAGGAGAAATTAGTTGATGTCAAAGAATAGCATTAGTTACAGTAACTAGGCAGAAGAAACCAAGACATTGATGTTGAACGAAAAGTGATCCGCATTATTGTAGAAGTAGATACTTGTTATCTTGTAATAATAACGAAAGATACAGACAATTGTGCGTATATCCTTCTATAAGTAACTTTAGAAGTTAGCAATGGCAACAAATCAACAATATGATGGAACTTCCAAGAAACTTCATTGGTGTAGGTAAGGGAATAGGATACTTAGGGGTACTTGGATGTGAGTTTTGAAAGTAATTATTGCAACTTAAAGATTCAGAATCAGATAATCAGTTGATTAAAGCTATCAAGTAAATTCAACAGTTGTCTTAAAAGTTAGTTTTCTTAGAGCCACATCTTCCCTGCTTCGCCAAATTTGATTACTTTGACCCTTCAATACTTCAAGTCACAGTGATCGGTTTAAATAACAAATGATGACCGTTTTAGGAGAAAGGGAATCCCACAAACCAAAGTTCTACTAGAAAAAAATGACAACGAATAAGTTATACTTACGGATACAACCGAACCAGGAGTGATAGAAGAAGCAATCATGGAGGCTTCTGAGAGCCATATTTTACACGTTTTGGACTCAATTCCACCAGAAGCATCTTCAACGCTTCGACAAATCAAAGCAGAAGTACCAATAAATGAAGGGTATTTGGTAGAAGTCTCTTCGAGTGAGCGCAATAGTAATTGTTCGTCATCTTCACCATTATAACTTGGGTTCAGATTCGAATATGCGGATGAACTACTGAGAGAAGATGGTGATGTTGCATCTGAATTGGAAATTTTTTTTGACTTGGTGTTCTTCTTACCCTTCGGAGGCATTGTTTCAAACAGACCAAGGAGGGAGGGAGGTTGGGGTTTCAGGTTCCATTAAACCCAAAAGGGCAAAAGGGGGGTCTTTTTTTGGAGAAAATCCGTATATTGCAGATTTGCCCCTTCTTGTTTTCTGCATGACCATTTCTCCCCCTTTATGCTCTTCAAATATATATTTTTGTTTTGTTGGCCATCGATGGTAATGAACAATGACGAATCTAGAACAAAAATCACATGATTCTTAAATTAAGTAAATCCAATAAAAAATCAAGAACACTTGTGTGTGTGTGTGTGTGTGGTGGGGGGGGGGGGGGGGTCGTGTACCTTAAAAAAACTGGACCAACCAGTTCAACCGGTTAAAATCGATCAGGAACCACTGATTAAATTTTTTTAAAAACCGACTGAAATATAATTGAAAAACCCGGTACGATTTAATGAAAAACTAGTTGATTATTAATCCATTGATAAAGCAGCGAACGGAGATTGGGAGTCTATGGCATGTGGACTTCTTTTTATAAGATCAATTTATTTATTGATTAAAATTTTTAGAGTAACGATTAAGATCGGTTAACTTTTTGTTATCATTCTCATTATTTAAAGTAACAAATTGTCTTTAATAACTTATTTTTTTCTCCTTTTAAAATGGTTTTTTAAAACACTTTTTTTAAAACAAACTTAAGATAGGCCATTTATTTTTTCTAAGCTAGTTCCTAATTTTTCTACTATATATATTCTAAATGAAATTGAAATTTTAGATAGGTCTTAGGACCTACCTTTTCCCTTGGTAGATACGTCATTGGTAATGAAATACTTCTTTTTAGACGACACCAATAGCTAATCGGCTATGCACAATTGAAATATGTTGACCATCTATTAGGTTGGGGCCTAGGGTTGTCTTTGTCGAGCGGCCTCAAACTCCACTAAGGATGATGGTTGTAAAAATTGTGAAAATTGTTACCGATCGTTAATCGCCAAAGGTAATAAGCATCAAGTATAATAGAGTTAATACGTAATATTTATCAAACTATGACAAAATACAAGTTCCCTATAGGAAAAATCAACGGAATCATCTGTAAATCGTAAAAACTAGTGATATATATATATATATATATATATATATATATATATATATATATATATATATATATATACACGTCAACGTGATCCCGAAAATATAAATTTCGCAAGAATCTGACACAGTATATGTGAGATATGACATTTATAGTAAATGAATATATACAGTAATTAAAAAGTTACAACGACGAAAACTACAAGGAGATTTGTTGACTTTTGGAAAAAGTCACCAACTAGGCAATCGTAGTACTAAGTAGGAATTATGAGGCAATGAACGCCTAAAACAGAAGTCATATGAGAGAATTATGATTTTTTATAAAATCATAACGGTAATAAAACTAATCGAAAAAAGAAAGTAAAAACTAGACAAAACGACCAAAAGGAAAGTTGTAGAGAATGACGAGATCTACACGAATATATAAGAGTCATTGAGAATGAAGTTCGTATGCGAGATTTACGGAATTTCAAAGTTGAATTTTTACCATCACGCGCGTTCGCGCACACCTAACACTCGATACGTCTAGATACGGGATGATGCGGCACGCTGAGGGGCGACACATGGCAGCATCATACGGTTCACGCCCATTTGCACGGTGCGCACTCCAAGACTTGCTATAAATAGCAAGCTTCGACAGATCATTTCCTTACCCCTCTCATTCGTTCTCTTTCTACCTCGATTTGCGTGCCACTACCGTCACTCAACTCGAATAATGGTTATACTAAGAATATCTATTTAAATATAATTATATAATAAAGCATTGAGATTCCATTCATGTCATAAGTATATAGTTTGACCGTATCCAACTAACATGCATTGAGGTCATTATCAGTTAGTCTGCTCTTAAAAGCACTCATTTCCTCAAGTATACCCTTCAAATACGGATACACTAATAGTATATAAGATGAATGAGAATTACGAAAGCCCTAATACCTAGGAATACTAGAACACTATTTTTAAAGAATCAGAATACTTTTGCAACATAACAAAGTTATATACAAATAATATTTCCAAAGAGTAATATACAAAACCTGTGAATTCATCAACATTATGTTGACCTCTCAAAACCACATGTATTCCTAGGAAACCGAGTGACAGAAGATTGCATCTCCGGAAGCAGTGGTTAACCGACAAAGTTACCGAAGACCTACCATCATTATAGCTACGCCTAGCTGTTAGGGCACCTTTTGTAGTAGAAACACTAGTACTTCCAAAACCTTTTCCGATGTAAATGATTACGTATATATGGAAGTGATATTTATGTTACATATTGTTTTGTAATGTTTTACTAATTGAAATCTGTATAATTCGAAAACGAAAAAAATGTCTAAAGGAATTAAATAACTCGAAAATATTAAAGTTAAGTCCAATGTGAAATGACATGATCGCTATTGTCAAGACTACGAGACAGTCTTAGGTTAGCCTATGTGTAGCTATGTAACATACACGTTCGGTTATCGTGTTATGTAATTTTAAAAGTGAATAATATTATGAAATATTATATAATTATGAGTATTGAGTTCTAACGGATAGTTTTTACTAGAAATGAAGTAAAACTATGTTTAGAATCACTCGGAAAATATTGGAAGTCTTAAGAGATTCCAATCTAATATTGAAATTTAATGAAAATATAAAATTTGAAATAAGTAAAATTTTATTATTGAAAGTTGTAGAGAATCTCGTTAGAAATATTTAGGCGAAAACCTCATCGAAATCCGAGTTATAACGAAGAAGTTATGACCAATCGAAGATCCGCGACAGAACCGGCACGGCGCCGAATGACGTAAAAAGTGAGTTTTTGATAAACTACTTTTTAGCCTTGGTGATCTAAATGAAAGTCGTAGTATTTGTTAAACCGAGAATTTTGCTAAAAAGAACGCCAAAATCTGACTTCGTATGAGGAAGTTATGATTTTTCTAAGTTTCAGCTTAGCAGTAGACAGCTAAAAACTCGAATTTTAGATCGAGTGATTTTTAGCCGACACAACCTAAACGAGAATCGAAGGTCTCGTCAATAGTAGTACAACGGTAAAAAGACAGACGAAAACGGACATCGGATGAAGAAGTTATGGATTTTTAACGGATTTTCATGTCCCGGTCTGTTAAAAATAATAATATTAAAAATAAAGTCAAAATTAGCCAACGAAGTCTAAACGAAAGTTGTAGAGCATAATTTTCCCTACGCGTGCATATAAAGAACGTCAAAAACGGAGCCCGTATGCAAAAGTTATGGATTTTAGAAGTTCGGGGTACAAAAATCAAGAAAAATACGAAATCCGAGGAATTTCGCATGGCTGGTGTTCGGCCACGTCACCCTCGTCTGGATCTCGCCCCGTGTCCGCCTCGTGTCCAAACTAGCTTAGTTCACCGATGCTCTGTGCAGCCGAGACTCCGACGCGTGTCCGATGACTCCTCGCATCTGAGGCGCTGGACCAGTCCGAAGCCGACGCGTGTTGCGCCGGTGTCCGAACCTCGCACCCTCCACCTGGCCTTCGCTGCTACTGCCACCTGCCCTCCTCCGGATCCAAGCTTCGCCTATAAAAGGGAGGCTGCGAGATCTCCCGGGTAATTTTTAGGAAATTGCCACTTTTTACCCCCAAATCAGTATTTTAGCTATTTCGACTTCCCCCGAAGCCCCGTAATCATTTTCAACACCCGAAACACTCCCCGAAGTGCCCGAGAAGCCCGAGAAATTTATCTTTTCGGTTTGAAGCCCAACCCTCGCAAGGCCCGGTTTTCAATAAAGCTCCCGGTTTTCATTGAAGAAAGTCAATTATAGTAACGAAGTGATGCCCAAATTACTATTTTAACCCCCGATTAATCCACGGTGAGTTCAATATATAGGAACAATTGTATGTTATGTGTTATATGTGCTATGTGCTTTTCAGTGTTATTATTCCGGGTTATTTTCCCGTGTCATTTTTATTTCTGCTATTTATGATAGCAAAGCTATACCTTTGACCATGTGATCAGTGAAAGGACTTAGATTCACGGTGGTACTGGTACGTAGCCTCTGGCCATGTAGAGCATGTCTCCGTAAGAGAATGACTTATATTCTATGGAATTGACAGCTGGTTAGACAGTGCTATAAGCCTGAAATCTACTGAAATGTTTAAATCAGAAAGTGTATGTCTTCTGTGCCATTTGGGCCGAAGCTTTATTGATGTATATCAAGTATGGAAATTGTTATGTCTCATTGATTGTATATCTTTGAATCAAATCATTGATTGATATGGAAAGTATGTCATATGATACTCATCTGCCTTTGTTGTTCCTTGTTCCTCTTTGCTTCTGCCATATTGAAGTATATATATGGATAACGTTATATTGTATCTATTATTGAACTCACTAAGCGTCACCGCTTACCCCTCTCAATGTTTAACAATTGCAGGAGATAAGTAACCAGTATAGTCTTATACTGTTGCAAGATTTAGAATAGGTAAGACTACTTCTTTGTATTTAGTATTCATGTATGTATATGAATAATAGATTCCTGGATAGTTATGTAATATATTAAACTTAAATAGTCGGTTTGTATCCAGTCATTTGTAATCAAATTATCAATGTAAAATATTATTTATGAATATGCATGTAACATGTTTTTGGAGTAACAATATTGTGAAGTATGAAAGTTTTGGTCTTTTAGAAATATGAAAGTTTAGAAAGGGGTTCTTTCAAGCTAATTTATATTAATCATATTCACATTTAACAAAAAAATTTACATTTTTTTACAAAAAAATGTTTATAAAAAGCTTTACAAAAATAATGATTATATAACCTTATATGTGTTATATAGTTATATATTTGAATTATAAAATAATAATTATAAAACCTTATCTATATTAAAAGAACAAAAAAAGGAAAATATGATTGTAAGTGAATTAAGTTAAGAATTATGATTATAGCGACCATGAAATCTTTAATAAATATAAACAAAAGAAATATTAAAAAGAAAAACATTAAAGAAATATATTTGAACAAAACGTGACAAAAAATCTAAATCATAGAAATATAAATAAATTAAATAAAAATAATGATAAATAATAGACGAAGTTACATAAATGGTCCCTATTGTTGGAACAAAGTACATAAATGGTCCTTATGGTAGGAAGGGCAAATGTGTCATTTCACAAGAGACTTAACTAAAAAAGTTAACACCGTTAGCCAAAAAAGATCGTCTTTGCAAGATTTTGAAACCATAAGGACCATCTATGCACAAAATTTGTCACAAGGACTAAAGTTTGTCAAGTGTGTCAACCACAATGACCATTTATGTATTTTTGTCAAAAAAAATTCTCAAAATTCCGAAATTGTTCATTGGGTTTCGGACTTGTTTTTGAAATTATAGAGTTTTTTTTCGAAGTTCGAGATTTTAGTTCGAAACAGTTCAAAAATTGTTCATTGGATTTCAGACTTGTTTTTGAAATTGTAGAGTTTTTTTTTCGAACTTCGAGATTTTAGTGCGAAATGTCAGTCCAAAATATTTTTTTTTTTAGAAAAATATTTTTTTCTATGATCATGATACATATTCTAGATTTGGTGGTTATTTTTTCCAAAAACATTTTTTCTTTTATTTTACTTCAACTACACATCGTTACTCAATTTCCCTAATAATTATAATAAGTTAGATATTCATCAAATATATTTATCCGTAATTTTTTAAACAATTTGGTAGGGTATTTAGGCGTTTCCCTGAATTGAATTCTCTTCCAAATGAACTTTGAGACCTAAGATACAAGATAAAGATAGGATTGAGTACATATCTTCCATTGATTTATGTGACGTGGGTTCGAATTTTACCCACCACAAGTTTTGTCCTACCATAATTGGGATAAGGAGTCTAACTTCCCTTGTAGAATTTTCCAATTTCTTCCTCCGCCACACCATATATATACTTTACGCCACTTCGAATGCTACAATGTTTGAAAAAAGACGCAGATTTTACAAAGACGGAGAAGATAACAAGCTTCAAGTACTCCGATCGTCAGGTAACTCTTGTCATCTGTTTTTCGTGGATATTTATTCATGGGTTCGAGAGTCATTGTGGTTTCAAATCGCTGAAAGTCGCTGATTTCTTGAATATTGCCAATTTGAAGTACGAATTGTCGGTCTAAAGTCCAAACCTTTTGTTGATTGTATATGATTCCCAGGTTTTATGAATGTGATTGTAACATGAATTCGTTGTAAGAATTATAAAGTAGTCCTACTCCCAAATGAATTCTATTACAGTATGTAGCAAATGTACCTTAGCTGCTAATGCGAAAATAATTTTTGTTTTCCATACTTTCATTTTAGTGCTTACTTGGGTTGAAATTGATTCGATAATATTTCGTATCCAATGCTTGCAAAATTTGGGCTATTTTGGACTTATTTTGAAAATGAATTTAGAAATATATTTTCTGATGAATATCGTGCTTACAAATTGTTCTAATGATTACATTTTTCCATATTCAATACTAGTTTGGTACTTCTGTTTTGATAATGACCTCAGATAAGTTTTGAAAATTAGAATTCAATTTCTACCTTTTTTAATTTTTTTAAGGTGGCATTTGGAAGCCAACAAACTGGCTATGGCTCTTTCTCTTCACACCGTATTTCTCTGCAAAGAGGAAGCCCTCAATTTATATGCAAGATCACCATGTAATGAAAGGTTTCAGAGAAGTGGACAAGCTCCTACCAACATAATCATGATGAAAATTCGATCCAGCAATGGATATTTTAATTCTTTCCGGTTGTTTAGATCTTATAAGACCATTTCTTTGTCAGATTCTAGCCATTGCAAGGATAAATCTCAGATATGCAGCATTGATACAAGTTTTGAGGTACTTCTTCTATTGATGTCAACCTTGTTCTTTACTTTGAACTCATAACTCGTTCTATTTATAGGAAATAGAAAGATTTGATCTTAAAAGGGGCATGACTTTGATTCTTGAAAAGCAATGGAGGCAATTTGTACAATTGGCTATCGTATTGGTTTGCACATTTGTTATCGTTCCCAGAGTTGATGCCGTTGATGCTCTTAAAACTTGTGCTTGTTTACTCAAAGAATGCAGGTATATATATTTAATCTTAAAAAACTCGTACTAATTTATATTTTATGCTCAAAAACCTTGATTCTCTTAAAACATAGGATTGAGCTTGCAAAATGTATAGCAAACCCATCTTGTGCGGCAAACGTTGCATGTCTACAGACGTGTAACAATCGGCCTGACGAGACCGAATGTCAGGTATAATCTGTCACTGTCAATGTCACTCTGTCACTGTATTCTAGAATACAGTAGTCAAACAAATCTTGATTCTTACAAATTCATTGGCTTCATGTGGACAGATAAAATGTGGTGACTTGTTTGAAAACAGTGTGGTGGACCAATTCAACGAGTGTGCGGTTTCACGAAAAAAATGTGTGCCCCGGAAATCGGATGTGGGTGAATTCCCGGTTCCGGATCGTAATGCAGTGGTTCAAAATTTTAACATAAAAGACTTTAGTGGGAAGTGGTATATAACAAGTGGTTTAAATCCTACATTTGATACATTCGATTGCCAACTTCATGAGTTTCATATGGAAAATGATAAACTTGTTGGGAACTTGACATGGCGCATAAAAACTTTGGATGGTGGTTTCTTTACTCGATCTGCTGTGCAAACATTTGTTCAAGATCCAGATCTTCCTGGAGCACTATATAATCATGACAATGAGTTTCTTCACTACCAAGATGACTGGTAAATTTCTTTCAATTCTTTAATTTTCACATATTCCCTCTACAAACCCTAACATCAACACGAACACAAAAATTACTTAATCCAAACTCAAATTCACATCTAACAGGTACATATTATCTTCCCAAATCGAAAACAAACCCGATGATTACATATTCGTATACTACCGGGGTCGAAACGACGCATGGGATGGATACGGTGGGTCCGTGATCTACACCCGAAGCCCGACACTCCCCGAATCGATCATCCCAAACCTACAAAAAGCAGCCCAATCCGTGGGTCGAGACTTTAACACTTTCATAAGAACCGACAATAGTTGTGGGCCTGAGCCTCCATTGGTGGAACGACTGGAGAAAACAGCGGAAGAGGGCGAGAAGTTGTTGATAAAAGAAGCTGTAGAGATAGAAGAAGAGGTTGAAAAAGAGGTGGAGAAGGTTAGAGATACAGAGATGACTTTGTTTCAGAGGTTGCTTGAAGGTTTTAAGGAGTTGCAACAAGATGAAGAGAATTTTGTGAGGGAGTTGAGCAAAGCTTTTTGGGCGCGCGTTACCGATTAGGAAACTTAGATAAATTTCGATGATTAATTCAGACAATATATATGGTCATATGGATTATGTAGATACTAAGAGAAAAAAAAACTTTTGTATACGTGATAAACGTGTTTGTGATTTGTTTATTGGCTTAAAATTGTAGAATAGCTTTTTTTCTTTATGAAAAAAATTGATTGTCTATTGGTAACCAAGAGGTTCACGAAAAGAGATAATGACTTAAAAGGGTAATATATTTTTCGATTTGTATATATTTGGTCACCAAGTTTTTTTTTCGTCCACATTTAGCCCTTCAACTTGTTAAACTGTACATATTCAGTCTTTATAACCCTTATGACCGTCAGGTTAGCCGGAAAAACTGACTTAATAGGGTAATATATTTCTCATTTTATACACATTTAGTCATTAATATTTTTTTGTTTCAAAATAAGCCATTTTTTGTTTTTGCATTCATTCAGTACTTATGAATGATTTATTTAGGGTTTTTCTCACGACATCTTACATGAGACAATCATTGACGAGGTGTTTGGGACTGTTGATGTTTATATTCATCGCGACCTCGACTGCTTTGTTGCATAAGTCTTGTGGTTTGGCTTAGTTTTGTGTTCTGAACGTCGTATCTTCTTCATATAATATCATATTTTAACGATCTTTATATCCACGTGTTCGTTTTTTGAGTTTACTATAACTTTCGTTAAGATTACTCCCGTTAAAATGTAATATATTTTTACTTACGATTTTATAAAAAAACATCCATACATGCATTCATAAAAAACGTATGGGTATAAAGATCGTAAGTAAAAAAATATATTACTTTTTAATGGGAGTAATCTAAATGAAAGTTGTAGTAGACTAAAATATGAACGCATAGATATAAAGATCGTTAAAATCCGAGATCGTATGAAAAAATTATGACGTTCAAAACACATGACCTAAGCAACCAAGCAGTCGAGATCGTGATGGACATAAATATCAAAAGCCCAAAACATCTCATTAATGATTGCTCAACGTAAGATGTTGTGAGAAAAACCTAAAAAAATCATTCATAAGTACTGAATGAGTACAAAAACAAAAATGCATTATTTTGCAACAAAAAAATTTAAGGACTGAATGTGTACAAAAATATTAATGACTAAATGTGTACAAAGTGAGAAAAATATTACTCTATCAAGTCATTTTTACCTGCTAACCTGAAATAACCGGTCATAAGGAGTGAATGTATACAGTTTAACAAGTTAAAGGGGTAGATGTGGACAAAAAAAACTCAGTGACCAAATGTGTACAAATCGAAAAATATATTACCCTCAATGTTTTAAAACCCGGGTCGACCCGGCCGGTTCAACCGGTTGGACCGTGACCCAAGGAAGAAGACGGGTCAATTGAGAACGGTTTTTTGTAAAAATACGGACCGGATCGAACCGGCTGGGTTTCTCCTAAACCGCGGTCGAACCGTTATGTCGAACCGGTTAAAACCGGATTGACCCGTTTTAATAGGGTTTGGATAGTTGGATACATGTAGCGAACGCCAAAACAACGAGCCGTTTGCGGCTTCTTCAATGTTTTTCAATGTTTAAACTTTGTGGACATCAAATTATTGGTTTTATATGTTTATACATTATGAGGGAAAGTAAAAATATATGAAAATAGAAAAAGACCATAAATCGGGTTGACCCGGCGGTTCAACCGGTTGAACCGGTTGACCCGTGAACCGGTCATCACACCGAGTCAACTAAAAACTCGGGTTTTAAAACATTGATTACCCTTTTAAGTCATTATCCCTTCACGAAAAGACTGAAGGGTCTTGCACCGGTTTGCGGGTTGGGCCAATTTTTTTGGGGCAGGATCGGTCTTGATCGGGTTTTTCTTTCAACATGTAATTGTTAATAGAAATGATGCGTTATTTTCTGTAACATCCCAATTTTCAACACCAAAAATTTTGTTTTGATATAACGATTTAGAAAAACATTTATAGGAAACATCATCGAGTCATATCATTTCATAAAACCATAGTCACATGTCTCAAAACCATATCGTAAAATAGTAACAATGTCAGAGTACAATCCCAAGAATCTCATAATGCGGAAATCCTGTGTGGGTGATGCGCTGCTACCATGCCGACTCCTTCCCCTTCGACGAAAAGGTACCTGAAACAAAACTGAAAACTGTAAGCACAAATCTTAGTGAGTTCCCCCACCGTACCACATACCATATAACAAACATACTGTCAGAGAATTCTGGGGTGCCTGACCTACGCATGTCAAGCCATTATGGGGTGCTTGACCTACCCTGCCAGGCCATTCTGGGGTGCCTGACCTACCCATCGGCCCTTACGACCGTGCCACTGGGGCTATTCCCCCTACTACCACTATCACATAACATCATATCATGCTAGCACATAAAACATATCGGGTAGTAACAAAACTAGATAATTATCACAAAGACAATCACTTAATCAAACAACTCCTACTAGTGGGCCGACATTGTGGCCGTAGACCCACTTCTACTGGAAGGTAACTCATCTCAATGTCGTGCAGTAACTGAACTGTCCTCGGCGTTGGAATCGACTCCTCTCAAACTCCTACACATAACAACCTTCCTTAATTACCATTTCATACTCATAACCCTTTCAAGGGTCAACTCAGGTCAAAGTCAAAGTCAAGGTCAACTCCCTGGTCAAAGTCAACATCCTGGTTGACTCAACTCGCCGAGTTGATCCATCAACTCGTCGAGTTCTATAATTTAGAGAAACTCGAATTCGCGATCGGACTCGTCGAGTTACCCTCTAACTCGTCGAGTTTCTCCTTATGACAAAATCGGGACTTTCCACTTGAACTCGTCGAGTTCTCCTTCATACAAATCGGAACATTTGCTCATTGACTCGCCGAGTTCATCCTTGAACTCGTCGAGTCCTGCTTCATAACAGTTGGGACATCGTCTTGAACTCGCCGAGTTCATCCTGGAACTCATCGAGTTCTTGATCTTCAAGTCCATATTCATGTCCATCTTGTTGAGTCCTCTTCTAGACTCAACCAGATTGCTCAGAAACAGAAAAATTTGGGGAACCATGACCCGACTCGCCAAGTCCTATGAACGACTCGCTGAGTCCCCTAAAAGTCCAAGTCCATACAGTCGATTTCAGTTAAGCTTATTGCATCCAAAGCATAGATTTGGCCTCCTAGGGTCGATATAACACGTAAAGTTACAAACTTTACGTGCATGCATGGGTGTTATGAAGCTAAAACACAAAAAACTTAGCCATAAAGGAGTCCTAATGCATGGGATAGGGCCATAGCTCAATAAAGGTGGCAACTTTGAGCTTCCTCAGCCTAAAAGTTCCTAGATCTGAAGTCATTACTATAATATGCACTCAAATCCCGAGATGAAACTTAGAAATGGCCCCAAAAATGACAAGATGCAAGCCCTAAAGAAGATCTAAGTGATAGAAAGCCAAGGTTGAAGCTTTTTACCTCAAACAAACTGGAAAATTCAACCGAAACTCTGGATCTACTGCCTTCTTCTTGAACCTCCAAGCCTTTTCCTTCCTTCTCCAAGCTTCAAATCACTAAAAAGGCACAAAATAGCTCAAGAACACTCACAAACTGATTAGGGTTTCGAGAATAGGTCTGAGGGTGATGGAGGTTGGAGTGGAGGCCATATAAGGTGTTTAAATAGGGTGCAAACCCTAAAATTTAGGGTTTCATTCAGACAGATCTACTCGTCGAGTCGGGGCTTCCGACTCGTCGAGTAAACTCTTCCACCCGCATCCAAGATTAGCCCCTACTCGACGAGTTTGGGTCCACCAACTCGTCGAGTCCCAGTATAAAAAATGTAAAACTCATATTGAAAACTACGTACCGGGAACCAGGCGTTACATTTTCAATTTTTGGACTTTTTTTTGTAAATTTGTTGTTATTTTATAAAAATATTACATTTTTTTCTATCTATGAGTATAGTTAACTTTTGTAATTTTTTTTTTCAATTGTGGTTTTATTTGAGGTTTTTTGTAATGTTTTTGATCACAAATCCGCACAAATGGTCCATGTGGTTAGTTCAAAATTGTCACTTTGGTCCAAAAAAATTTGGACTAACACCATAGGTCCAAACTTTTCATTTTGTTGCGAGTTTGGTCCAATTTGTTTTGAATTTTTTTATAATGACGATTTCGCCCTTATTTTTTTTCTTTTTTGGCTTTTATTTATTTATTTAAATACTTTTATGATTAAAAGAAAATAAAAAAGAAAATATTACCCCTACCCTACCCTCTCTCTTTTACAATACAAAAGACCACCACCACCGGTCAACATCACCGCCGCCACCAACACCGGCCACCACCACCGTCGACATTGATGCTTCCTTTGTAATCTTAATCGCTGGAAACTTCAGTCATCAGAAAGTTTACCTAGCTCCAACGAACACCACACACATACACAACTCTCTCTCTCTCTCTCTCTCAAGATGAACAAACAAACAAAAATCAGAAATCTAACATACAATAACACATAAAAAACCTAGAAATGATTAAACACAAATGAAATGATTAAATACAGATGATACCAAACACATACATCTGTTCAAGAACATCTGATATACAAAACTAGAAATTTGATATACAAGACCCAACACATAAACCTGATTCAACACACAACACTCATCGGAGCAACATCATCTTTAATCCATTTGTTGTTCGAAGCAAAAAACCAAGGGTTTATAGATCTTTAGTGGTTTGAAGCAAAAAGTGAGGGTGACAACACATCCAAAAAGCTAGTGTTTCGAAAACTAGAATGGTGGCGACGCTAGGGTTGTTGCAAATGATGCCACCTTGCCCGAGAAGGAGAGAGTCGAGCGACTGAAACCCTAAACGGCGTCGGATATCTCGCCATATTTTTTTAAATCCAAAATATGAGGGTGACAACAAATATTCATGTTTGAGCTGCCATACGATGCTCTTCAAACCCTAAATGGCGGAACCTGAACCCCTATGATGTTGCTCAAACCCTTGTGTCGTCTGAACCCGAGCCTTCACTGCCACCGCCACCACTTCTACAAACCCTAGATATCTCGCCATATATGTTCGTGTAACGTCTAGGGGTGGCAATTGTTGACACGACACGACAAAAATACACGACACGAAACG